TATTAGATTTTTTGTCGCGGATTTATTTAGTTTTTTGGTTCCCGACGTTTTGAATGCTTTACAGCAATGATGGTCTCGGTCTAAGGTCAGGTAAGGTAAGACGTATAGTCTTACCAAACGTTGGGAAGCTATAAATTCAAATAAATTCGTAATAAACATAGTTTTATATTAAAATAATTATTTTTTATAATTTATTCAATGATGACTATGAATGAGACTTTTTATTTACTTATATGAATGGATATGTCGTATTTCAAAATCAATCGACATTTAGTAAAAATTCTGTGGAATATTGGTTTTAAAAAAATAATTTCTCCAAAAATGTTTTTATCAATGCTGCTAGGTCACTATATATATATATATATGAAGACAAAAGAGCAAGTAAAAGCTGATGCCAATCATGCCAATCGTGAATCGGCAAATAACTAGACCTTCCACATTTTTAAAGCCCTAAGATTCTATTGTCGCTCGTCTGCACTTAAAGAGTAAGAACTGTTGCTTTTTGGAGACAAAAGGGGCTTTGATTTATCAGCGGACCGACTAATGGCGGATCCGGTATAAATTACGAGGCCGGCACAATTAACAGTTGTATTATGTACTATTGCTGATAGAGATTTTGATAAGTTATTTATTTGTGAGCTTAGTGAATGGAAAACTTGTTTTGTAGTTACTGCACATTTTCTTAATGCCCAACAACACATATGAATAAATATCTAAAAGTTTGTTACTTTCCTTCTTCATGTGATTTTGCAGTTACAGACAGACAGACAAACAGACAAAATGCTAAAAACTATAGATTCGGCCTATATATCGATAATAATGTATTCAATAAGATTTTCCGAAAAATATTTAATATACAGATTCGACTCAACTACAATTTTATTATATACTAGCTGACCCGACAGACGTTGTCCTGTCTACACGTCTTTAATTTGAAAATTTCAAACTTTTTTTAATAAGCTAAAACATTCTGGACCATTTTGATGAAAATTATTATTCAAATTGTGAATCTAAACCATTCTCAGATCCCCTTGAACACACAAAAAATTTCATCAAAATCGGTCCAGTCGTTTGAGAGAAGTTCAGTGACATACACACTCACAGAAGAATTATATATATAAAGATAAAAAAAGTCGATATTTTTGTATCAAATCGTAAAGGCATCTAATAATTTTGTTTAAAAATAATATTTTCTATCGAGACTCGGATTGAAGCAGCGACAACACGGCGTTACTTGTCGGCAATTAAAAGTGAAATATTGTTTTAATTAACAAATTCAGCCGCCCACTACTCTTGCGAATTGCCCTGTTTATTGTGATCTTGATTGAAGCAAGTTTCTACTTAACGAAAATTCAAATTCGGTTATATCTAGAGGAGAAAATTAAAATAATTGTTTTAGAGATTGAGTGTTCTTATGATATTTATATTTCTTTTAAAATATCTTATGACTAATAATAGTAAAATAATTCAATTTGAAACAAAACCAGTCTTTAAATAGTATAAAATAACTTTTTTTTAGTTAATTAATGTTTTAATATTTAATATCTAAAAAATATAATTATAAAGGTATTAAAATGATTTGGTGACTCCAAACGAAATTCGACGAATCTACGCGAACATAATCAAAATAAATCCGCGAAAAAATCCAAAAACATAGTTTTAGTTAAAACTTTATAATGTTAAAAATTTTATGAAATTTAATAGTTGATAATGTTTTAGTAGTTTATTTTTATTAATGTGTTTATGCGGCAGTGGTAGCACAGTGGTAACGCGCTCGCTTGGGAAACCGAGTGAAGCGGGTTCAAATCCCGGGTCTCGCACCTTTGTTATTTTCATGTGCGAATCATTTCTATCATGATTACCACTTGCCTGACGGTGAAGGAAAACATCGTGAGGAAACCTGCATATCTGAGAGAACCTAACAAGTTTTCGAAAGACTATGTGTTTATTTCCGTATAATTTTAAGAATGTCAGTTATTTTTTTCTCGTGTGAAAATAGTCAATTACACATAAGTAGCTCTATAAATAATTTCTAAACGCAGGCTATAACCGCCATAAGAGGTAAAAAATTTAGAATTAAGTTATATTGTGTTTTTTTAAATAAAATGCTAGCAGAACCCGCGGCTTCACTCGCTCTAAAACTACGAAAACAAAGCTCTAAAAAAGTAGTTTCATACAAACTTTTATTCCCTATTTTACCCCCTTATAGAATGAATTTCGAAAAATGCTAAAACACGTATTTATTTAATTTCATTGAAGAGCACTAATGCCAAGTCTCAAGTAATTCTGATCATAAATATTTTTTCGGATTGTATTATAACGTATTTTCCCGTGGGAATTAAATAATCTTCCGCAGTAAAAAGTAGCCTATGTCACTCTCCAGCCCTCCAACTATCTCCTCAAAAATCATGCCAATCTGTCACTCCATTTCGACGTGAAAGAAAGACAAACAAACAAACACACTCTCACATTTATAATATTACTATGGATTGTATTAATGTAATTATCACTGTAAAGTACAAAAAGAACTTTATGTGGTGTGCGTAAGTTCGAATTTGTGTTTAGACAATTAGAAATTTCGATTTTTGAATTTTATTCTTTGGTTTGATTTAACGTCATATGTAGACGCCACTTTTTGAAGAGACATTTATTAGGAAACTAGCGGCTCACCCTCGCTTCGCTCGGGTTCGTCGCTAGGTACGTTTTAAATAGATATAAAAAGAAAAAATCTTTCTTTCTCACATTTTAATTATATGTTTTAATACTTACCTATTCCGGACTAAGAGAAATCCAAAAATTAAAATATCATAAAAATTGGAACGCGGTCGAACGGGATAAAAAGTATCCTATGTCCTTCTCCTGGCTCTAAACTACCTCCCTGCCAATTTTCAGCTAAATCGGTTCAGCCGTTCTTGAGTTATAAGCGAAGTAACTAACACGACTTTCTTTTATATATATAGATGTGTATCTATATCAAATAGCATTGCCCGCGGCTCCGCCCGGGTTTAGGTGTCCAAAAACCAAATTCATATTAGTATACTCTTACAATGCAGTTTTTTATATTTTTTCTCAGAAATGAGACATTTCCCCGCGGTATAAAGAATCATATATGTTGACCCGGATAACCAGCTATCACTATAAAAATTTCATCAAAATTCCTCCAGTGGTTTTCTGTGATGCGGTAACAGACAGACAGACAGACAGACAGACAGACAGACAGACGGACGGACGGACGGACGGACAGACAGACAGACAAAAATTCTAAAATTTGGCATCTGTATCGATAATAATGTTTATTTCAATAAGATTTTCTAAAAAATATTTAATGTACAGATTCGGCTTAGTTACAATTTTATTATATGTATAGATTACATATAAACATATTACGTATAATAATTTAATGTTCATTAGAAACATTTAATATATTTATGACATTAACACTAACCAGTATTCAGTGATAGCCTCGGGATATATTCTATTATGAGAACAATACACATTTCACGTAAATTTACTAACATTGTGTTAGAGTAGTTATATATTAATTTATTATTGACGTGACAATATACTAAATATAGTGGTAGTAATTGATTTTAGTTAATGATTACTAGTATAGTGTTACGTCATATATAATACTAATATTATAAAGAGGAAAGATTTGTTTGTTTGTTTGTGCTTCTTTCATGTCGAAACATAGCGACGAATTGGCGTGATTTTTTGTGTGCAGATAGTTGGAGGGTTGGAGAGTGACATAGGCTACTTTTTTTTGCGGGATTTTATCTCATTCCCACGGGAAAATATGTTATAATACAACTCAAAAATATTTATGATCTGAATAACTTGAAACTTGGTATTAATGCTCTTCAATACTATTAAATAAATACGTGTTTTAGCATTTTTCGAAATTCATCCCATTAGGGGGTAAAATAGCGGATGAAAGTTTGTATGAAACCTACCTTTTTAGAGTTTTTTTTTGTAGTTTTAGTGCGAGTCAATAGTATTGTAATAGTTGAAAATCTATAATATCATATCACGTTTCAATACGTAATTGGTCTGAACATTCGGATTACCGTCGTTTACTAAATACCGGTGAAGATAATCTGAGCTACAATAGGCAATCTAATAAGGCATCTATTAGGTGTTCAGTCAACCGTTTCGATTTTGGTTACACTATATTTATTTATTGTTGAATAGATCTACAATGGCGTCCTTTGATAGGGTGTTGCGTGATGAGAGAGGACGGTGAACAAAGTTGTTGAGAAACTGTGAGTTATGTTAATATATTTTTTTTGTATAATTTCTAGGTGCAAACGGTAGCCTATAACTCCATGCCATAGATTATCTGTGATTGAAATTACCAAATCATCTAAATCCGTCCAGAAATTCCAAAGACACACACAAACACAGACAAACACACAAAACCTTTTGTATTTACAATAGTAGACTTATAACAATATTTACAACTTTATTCACAAAAAAGTTTCAACAATATTAAAAAAATAACATAGGTATACTTATGCAATACAAATGCACCTACACTTAATAATTACTGTGCAAGTCGTGTAGCCGTGGAATTGTGGCAAGAATGCTAGCTGCATTCCCCTGGTGTATCTCTAAACCGATTTTTTGTACTATGTGTATGTTACGTGTGTTGTTATGTGTGTTTGTTATGTGTAACGATATACGTTAAACTTTGGGCAAAGCAAGTTTATATATTTTTGTGATTATTTCTCATACTATATTATATACTTACATATACTTATATAGTATAAGAAATAATCACATTTTTTTTAAATGAAACAATTTTTTTCGTTTTTTGCAGATTTATTGAGATTTTTGGTTCTCGACGTTTCGAATTCTTATAACAATTATGGTCACGGGTAAGACTGATTGGTCCGAGAAAAAACCGAAAGGATCTGTTTAAAATGTTAAATATTCACGTAAATAAAAAAAAGGCTTATGATATATAAAACCGTTAAAATTGTAAAAATGAGCGAACTTACCTCCTCCACAAGTAGCAGAGCAGAGTGATCCAGGAGTGGACAGCCAGTGATACCTTGGTCTGGAACACGATGATCCATCTCCCCCGCAAACCCCGCATTCATCCACTCTTCGAGTCGAGCCCACACGTAGGTCGCATCCCACACGCTACGACAAAAATAAGGAAATTAAGCAAATAATATATTAGGTACTAGTGACTTACTCTCGCTTTGAGTAAGTTTTTAGAAACTTAATTTTTTTTGTTGGGGACATTAACACACAGCGCCATCTAGTTCCATGGTAAGCTACGAGGATTTTGTTATGGATACCAGATAGTTGATACACTACACATATATAACTTTTAAATACATACATATTACAAATATAAACACCCATGACTGGGGTACAAACATTCGTGCTCATCACACAAATGAATGCCCCCAGCGGGACTCGAACCTGCGACCACTGGCACTGTAAGTAGGGTCACTACAAACTGAACCAAACGTGTCGTCAAATTGTAGCTTGTTGATTACACGAGGTCTATCTTGGTACAAAATTACATCCAAATCCACTTAGCCATTTCGGCGTGAAAGAGATATGTATATATCCCATTTACAATAGTTGTGTGTGCTATCCTTGATTCTATATACACATTAGACAGGTATCACTTAACACTATACACAATTACGAATAATAATGTATGTATGTCTGTAAGAAGCGTAAGTAGCTTTTATTAAAAAAAACCTTTGAACTTTAAACGTAATTGATGGACATCACCTGTCTTGTACTTAAATTGTGGATTTTAAAAAACTAAAACTAAGAAAACTTAGTGAAAATTGATGAATGATTTTTTTTGAAATAAAAAAAGCAAGCAAAAGAATTGTGGAATATGCCTACGTCACATATATTCCACAATTCTATATATTATATATATATATATATTTCTATATAATATATATATATATATATATATATATATATCTCACATATATCACACGACTACACAATAGTATGTTATAGGTGTGACGAAATTCTTTTTAAAACTTTGAAGTTTAAATTACTAAATAATATCTCGGACTATATTTCTAATTCGGACGCAATCGGTTGCGTTCGAATTAGAAATATATCAATCGATACCATATCGATATCAACTTTGCTACTAGTTAAAGGTGAAAGCATAAGGGCAAATAAGTCAAAAGTACTCGTAACACTAAAAATAATGTATTATTAGATTGTGCTTCTAACTTTAAATTAATTATATTAGCAAAGATTGATAGATGAGTTACTTAAGAGAGATTGCTTCAAATTTCATGTGGACTTAATATATTTAGTACGTACTCAATAATGAAAACTGAATAATTTCCACTCATTTATGACTCAAATTTTCATGGGACGCCAATATGGTACAACCAATAAGAGACCGACAGATTTACGTGCTTTCCAAGGCACGGGAATAACACCGTAAACTTCCCAACTTCGAGCTGCTACTGAGAATTCCTTAACAGAAAAACTCAACAACTAAGCTTAGCCCTACACGGGACTCGAATCCTGGATCTGGTGCTACGTCATAAATATTACTACATTGAATAATCAAACCTATCAGACAAATGTATACTTCCGTAGGATAACTAAAGGCTTTGTTTTAGAAATACCATCATAATTCATTTGTGGCCGAGACATCGTAGCAGCGTTCAAATATTCTAGCAGATAGATATCCGGCATCTATCACTGTAATTTTGATAGTATTTAGTCTAGGAGCTGTTATACAAATTGTTTAAATAGAATTATACGTAACTAGCGCTTGCCCGTGGCTCTGTTTGCATATTTTATTCACTTTCACGCCATAAAATAGTACTGTAATGTTAGATAGACTATAATTTATTAAAGTAAGGCAAACTCACTGCACATTTATGCACCTTTATCCTGCGAAGTTTCCTTTTTATTGGAATCTATCGCCATTGCCAATATCAGAGGAATACGATAATAAATTGAAAGATCAGTAGTACAGTATAAAACGATTAATACAAATAATTTAATATCTAAAATAAAATAAAATTTAATATCTATACATATAATAAAATTGTAACTAAGTCGAATCTGTACATTAAATATTTTTTTGGAAATTCTAATTGAAATAGACATTATTATCGATACATAGTTCGAATCTAAAATTTTTAGAATTTTTGTCTGTCTGTCTGTCTGTTACCGCATCACGAGAAAACCACTGGACAGATTTTGATGAAAATTGGCATGGTGTTAGCTGGTTATCCAGGTCAACATATAGGATATATTTTACCGCGGGAAAATGTCTCATTTCTGAAAAAAAATACAAAAACTGCAACGTAAGAGTATACTAATATGTAAAACCTAAGAATTTGGTTTTTGGTTATCTGAACGCGGGCGGAGCCACGGGCAATGCTAGTCTAAAACAAATATCTCTTAGACTAACTGACTAACTGTAAGTTGGATTGGACGATAAAATAATTTCAATGCTTCAAAATCATTCCCTCCGTTGTTCATGTTATAAATTACTCTGATATATAACAATGACGCACCTCATCATTTATTCAGCGTTACGAAATCGAGTCGAGAGCCGCTCCACACAAATATGCCGAATTTTCAGATTATCATATTTAAGTATGTATCGCTGTCCCTTTCTCGCACACCACATATTAATATGATAGAGAAGGACGAATAATGCAATGTTATTACATGCAATTCATGTTTACTGCAACTGGATTTAATTACAGATGAAATATAAATATGGTTTTGTTATTAAGCAATTTTTTTAAATATTTCGATAATTTTGAATGAAAATTAAATGAAATGATGTGAGTTGGAGTTTATATCGCATTTACAAATTTACTTAGTCATATTAAATAAGTTTATTGAATAACAAAAATTGTATATTAGCGACTTACACTCTCTCTCTCTCGTTGGTGCCTTTTGTATTTACATATATTATTGTCTTTTTATTATTTAACTGCCTCGGTGGTGTAGTAGCCAGCTTGTACGGCTGCAGAAGTCCTGGGTTCGAGACCCGGGTTGGGCCAAGTTTAGTTATTGAGTCTTTCTGTATAGTAAGTCTCAGCAACAGCCCGGAGTTGGCAAGTTGGCGGATTCTCACCCCCGTGTCTCAGAGAGCACGTAAAGCCGTCGGTCCTGCGCCTTAACTCTCACTAGTGGTGTCGAGCAATCCAATCGGAGTATGAGAGTGACAAGAACAGAGAGTGCAATTGTGTCTGCGCGTACACTTGTGCACTATAATATCTCCTGCTCAGTTGGCTAGTCTCAATGGATTGGCAGCCGTGGCCGGAATCGGCCAGGAGAACTATATATATATATATATATATATATATATATATATATATATATGTAGGGCTACTTTTGGCCAAATACAAATAGCAACCTAAGTGTTTGTTCAGACCATAGTTTTACTTTTTATTAAATTTTCTTCTAATCCATTTAGTCATTTCACCGTAGGTACTAGTTTCTTGTATTTACAAACTTTTAACTATATAATAGTAACATTATTGGTAACATAAAAAATATATAGAAAAATAAAAACATCATTCTAATCTCGGTCCTATATTTCTCCCAAACTCAAAGCCCGTCCAATCACCGATTCAAAACATACATTAACAAAGAAAACTTTTATATTACCTAAAAAGTACAAAACATAAAACGTGGCCGATAAAAACTTGCACCAATAGCCACTTATATTTTACGTGCAATTAACAAAACGTCACGTATCGCAACTTTCTGAAGTGTCCAAGAAGTCATGAAACTTTTCACTCGCCACCACAGAGTTCTGTATTTTGCATAAATTCATATATTATTTAAGTGGGAACTCCGGTCGCATTTGCATAATCCTGTTCCCTCCTAACGAATACTAATTCGACGGTGGTCGAGCATCGATGCTTCGATGGCTAACTTAGCTTTTGAATGCTAAAAATTATATATTGATTTAAGATATTTGCTATATATAGCGTGTAATAATATAATCCTATCCGATTTTAGTTACCTTACCTTACCTTGCGTCGCTTGCTTGGCTGTGTCTTACTGCCTCTGTTCCTTTAACTCTTATGTTTTGGAGAGATAATACTTTTTTTAGATTTAAGCGAATATCTGCATTTTTAAATAATTTTTCAGATTTACAGCAATCAGCAGTCTCTCCCGTGACCATGATTGCTGTAAAGCGTTCAAAACGCCGGAAACCAAAAATCAAAATAAATCCGCCTCAAAATCCGAAAAGATAGTTTTGGTGTGATGATAATTGTTGTTATTTTTTCTGTATCATATTTTAAGTGCAATAAAGAATATAATAATAATTCGACTTGATTGCTTTGAAATTGAATTGAAGTCTGAAGGTGTCAACAGCACAAGGTTCCCAACTTTTTGCTGTTATTAAATATTTAGAAACCCACTCACATTTTAGCTCCTCCCTTTACACGAACCCAGACCCTTTTGATCTACAGTCAATGCTAACCACTAGACAAGTCAATCATAAATAATATATAATATATTAATGATAAAATAATCATTTTGAGAGTAAGAGTGTTGCATAATAAATACTTTGTGTTTCTTGTTTGAGACCGTGGCAAGTAAATTCCTGTTTAATATTGGTGAAGTATTGAAATAAATATGTACATAAATTACATTTTTATGCCAATTTAAAATCGATTAACAAAAATAAATTTAATATAAATTATGGTGAAAAATTTTTACGAGTTGAAAAGTAAAAACTGTAGTTGATGATTTTTCCCTGGTTATATTTTACCTATTACAAGCAATTTATCCTCGTTTATCTGTGTACGATGTTTTTAAGTTTCCATCCAACTCCTTACAGCTGTTAAAGCGTGAAGGAGTAACACATATGTACACTAGGGTGGTCCAAAAAAAAAAACAAACATTTTTTTTCGAGTCTCTTATGAAAATATCTTAGTTTATCATGTTTTAAGAGCCCCCTCCAAAGCGCACTTAAAAAAACTTTTTTTTATTTCCAAAATCGTTGAAAATCGATGTTTTTTAATATATTTTTCTCGTTTTCGTATAAAGGTTATCAGGATTCTAAAATTTTTCAAGTTTATATTTTAATATTTAAAGGTCGCTCAAGATTTTTTTAAGTTTCCATAACTTAAGGTAGAGTACTTTCCAAAAGTTTAGGT